TTCCACAAACCGTTACATGGGGCGCACAGTCGTACGCGTTAAGTTCCCAACCGCATGAACGTTGTAAGCCATCAGCGGTCGAAGTATTCATGTTCACCCCTTCCCGTGTACTGCAGAGACGTCTCGCTGAACCGACCGGGCTGCCCGGATTGGCCGAGCGTGCGAGAGTCGGAAAATGAGCTTGGGTCCTGGCAGGTGGTCGCCATGCTTGGCATCCTGTGGCCTTTGGTTCCAATGACACCTTCCCGGCACTGCTGCAGGAGCTAGGGCTGCATACGGGTCAGGTATTTGGTGATGTTTGGGTGGCGCCAAGGGACTTTTGGGGCCATGATGGGGCCAATGCCCCTGCAGGAGTTGGACCGTCACTCGAAGGTCCTGCGGAGCATCGATGACCGTCTCACAACGACGCAGGCCATCCTTTGGGGGCTTAGTGACTAGTGTTCAGCAAGTTTGCATGAGGGTGGGCAACCCCAGACTTTCGGTCCCGGCGCCGCCAAGAGCTCATCTGTGTAGTTTCCTGGCAGGCGCTGGTCCCCAAGGCCTTGGGTAAGATGAAGTGCGAGATCCCCGGCCACCAGGTGGGTTTCAGCAAGGTTTCTCTTCCGCAAGCCTCGCTGACCGCCATTGTTGCCCAGGGCGATGTGAAGGCGGCCATGGACAAGCTGCTGGAGGATTCGGCGGTGATAAAGGACTGGTGGTCGAACTTCAATTGCCGTTGTCGAAGCTAGAAACACAAGTCAGACAGCACTCTCGGCAGGAGCAGGTGGGAACCATCGTTGACCGACTTCACGACTCCACCAACGAAGCCATGGCCTTCAACGACCTAATGCACAGGCTGGGGGCTGCTTCGACCGTCCAGCTGGGTCGCCCTGAACTCCATAGGTTGCATGCGAGGCATGTGAGGATTTCTCTCTCGGCGTCGGAAACCGCATTTTTTTTCCTCCGGAATGCCAGAGAAGCTTTGCACGTCAGTCGGATCTGCGGGCGCCAGGCAATTCGAGTACAAGGCCAATCGCTTGCCAGAGGAGGTCTCCGAGTTCTCTGGCACAGCCTGGGGCTCAGGTGTCCCCAGGCTTACGGACACCCACTTCCCCAGACGAAGCAGAGTCGAAGTACAGAGCATGCCTTCAATCAACTTGGGTTGCTTGGGCCTGCTACACTTTGAGCTCCCACCACCCGAAGTTCAAGCGCGTGCAGTCACAACACAGCCACCACTTCCTTGTAGCGTAGTGTTCTTGTAAAACTCGACTGAGGGTATGGTTTTGTCGGTTGGAATCCGCAATATTGAAGCATGTTAACCATATATATATATATAGTATAACATATATAATATAGAATATATAGTATATAATATATAATATATAACATATAATATATAACCTTTAATATATAACATATAATATTCTTATGTGTGTGTGTCTACAATATGCACACACACACACACTAGGATCTCCCGTGCCGAGTCGCGGCAGGTGGTGTCCAACTTGCACCGCGCAGAGGACATGGCCAAGAAGGAAATGGTCGCCGGTGCGAAGGAGGGGGTTGGTTTGAGAGGTTTACGTAGGGCTTATCGGGTCCATGCGGAGGTATTGGGAGTGGGGACCTTACAGCTTGCAGGGGCAGTGTGCTCGGATCTGGCTTGTGTCAGTGCTTTGCCATGCGGAGCTGAATTCACCAGAGTCTCTATCCCAGCCGGAATTGCCGTGTGAAGGACCTGGTGCGAATGGCGGAAGAAGTTCGGACCATGATCATGGCGTCTACGATGCCAGCACCGCTGCAACACCACGGCACTATGAGACTCGTAGGGGCAAGCAGGCTCAGAAGGCTACCACTGAGGGTAATTTGCAGAAGCTGCCGCAGTCTCACTTCCTCCATTCTGGATGCAGCCGGTTCGTTTATGTCGCATTCGTGCTCAATGTGAAGTAACGTTACGTGCTCCCTCTGACCTCTCAGGTGCATGCTCGGTGCTCCGCCCATCCAGAGACGCCACTGCAGTGCAGCGGGGTTTCTGTGAGAGTTCCATGACGGCTTGTGGCGGGACCAATCAAAGTTTCAAGCGGCCGGGGTCTTTCATCCCTTCTCACACCCACTGCAACCCACGGGCCGTACTACCATCTTATCAGACTCTGACTCAAAGTGCCTCGCGCTTGTCTGTTGGTCCCGTTGGCAAGAACAGGTTTCACTCGAGAGAAAGATATTGCGCGGGCTTGCAACATGCGGAAAGCAAAGTCTGCGAGTCGTATTCAGATCGCTGCCGCATGTATATGTGGCGAAGTTTTTAATTAGGCCGTGCCTGACATGCACTACACCTCTAAAACCAAAGCAGGGGCAATTTATCTTGCAATCTCCGGCCTTAGACTCTCGAAAATAACGCCGTGCATTAATGGCACAGAAACATCCTTGAGGCTCGTGTCGTGCGAACGAACTTGCTGTTTATGTCACGTTTTCCTTTCTGAACCCACCGGGGTCCGTTGACCGTTAACCCAAGCGCAGGGTTAGGCAGCAACCCGGCGCCTTCTCAGCCCAGCTCCTAACTTTGATCCTTTGTTTTTAAGCTGCCGGGAAATGGTAAGGCAAGCTGTCCTGGAGCGTGGGACGCGAAGGCCGTGGGGTGCGTCTTGGCCGCAGTTGAGGCAGCTCAAGGGCGAGCTTCCCTGCCAAGACCCAGCTTAAGCTTGTCTACAGCTCTTGCAAGCCCTGCGGCACCATCAGTCACCATCAACTGTGCAATCCTTCCTATAAGATTCTTGAGTAAGAGAAAACCACTCCTTTGCAGAGGAGGCAGAGATGCCGGCAGCTTGGAGGGACGAGGCTGACGGCTTTCCCATATCTTGTGCTTCAAGTAGCTGCTCCCACGCAGAACAGCTTCACCCCCTGTTGGAGGCGGTGCGCGAAGCCCGCTTGCTGGAGAAGGAGGCACCCCCGCCGCAGGCGCTCGCTTTCTACGGCATTCGGCCAAGTTCAGTCTAGCAGACTTTGAAGAAGGAGTGAAGAGGGGCTGCGGGAGCAGGGGGCCAGAAGCAAGCTGATTATTTTAGATGTGAACCCAAGCTCAGGGCATGCCGTTCTCCGCAATGTTTCAAACAAGGCAAGCTTAACCTCGTTACCCATGGAAGCGATGCAGCGGGATGTTTTCCGCAACCGATGAGGACCGGGTCGGCTCCGACTCAAGCCCAGACTTTGTCACCATCGTGGGCGGAACGGCCGCAGCGGCTGCATTGTAAGGGCAGCTGGTGAGGGGGAGCGACTTCCTTTGTCCGGGTGAAATCAGCAGCAAAGCCGAAACTTCTGTGAAGCAAAGGTGGGCTTGTTCGGACTCCTCCTCGCTTGGGTTGTCCTGCTGTCGCCGCCACTGTGCTGCATTTGCCAGTCTGAACAACGAGAGGCCCCACACCCAAACATGAGCATCTCGACTCGCCCAAACTTCCGTGTTCGGTTCATCCTACATGAGGTGAGGGTTCGGCCGCCCCACCCAAAGGGCGGGACGACCAGAGCTGCGTCAGCTTCTCTCAGGCCCCCATCCGGGCCTTTGCCGCAAGTTTTCGAGCAGCCTCCATCCGAGGCGCGGGGGATGCATCACTTCTGACACGTACTAGAAGTGACATGTCGGGTGCGGAATAGGCGCAATTCGTGCTTCCATGGCCGCTGGGACCTTAGGAGTATAGGAGTTAAGAGTCGACAGCTTCAGCCATGGCCAGGTGGGAAATTTGCCGGAGTTCTCCCTCAAGTCTTGAGGTGAGTTGATGGTGAGATGCCTGGCGTGTTTGCAGAAGCCATCTATTTTCCTTGTAAGACAGGGTAAAAGCTCCCAAGACTCAACGCCTCAACCTCACACCCTGGTAGAGATGGGAAGCACCGAAGTGCACAGCCGCTGGCCCGCCCAGAACTTTCCGCAGCACGCCGAGCAGCGCACGAGGAAGCGGCGACAAAAGGCAAATTCCACTCTGCATCGGTCAGTGTACACCCACCGTGCGGATCACACACACACACACACACTGTGGTGGACTGGAGATATGGGAGATTCGATTCAAGTCCACTATTTTGTTCGGGCTTACCCCGAACAAGCAGACAGTCTTTCATCAGCTGCAGCATTTCGATGAAGCAGCCCAGGGCCAACAAGCTTGAGGAGCATGTTAAACGCACATCATCCTAAAAACCGATGACTCCCAGTTCGAGAAGCTTAACCCCCAAAACCAAGATCCTTACTATAGGGGTCGGAATAATTACTAATAGTATTCCCTTGTGGTCCCTTGAAAAGTATACTCTAATAGGCCCGAATAGGCCCCTGTATTGCACACCTCTCTGAGAGTGCGCGGACATGAGACCGAGCCAAGCGGCAGCCGGGACGAGTGGCTGAAGCGGCTGCTGAGCATCTTTAGACCAGGACAGGAGCTCAGCTTCGGGCTGCATGCGTCGAATAGCGTGAGAGTTGAAAAACCTTAATTACAAGCCATAAGCCTCATGCACGATCAAGCCCCCATAGACCTCGAAGGACGTCGCGGCCGAAAAGGCCCTTAGCGATAGCGGGAGGCAGAGGCAGACAAGAAGGAGGAAAAGCCCAAGGCGGAGGCAGAGCAGAAGGATCAGAAGAAGGAAGGCAAGCAAACAAGACAAGAGGACAAACCCAAGGAGGGCGGACAAATCGAGAAGCAAGCGGCTTACTTCAGCCCCAGATACTCTGGCATGTGCCCCACATGACGCATGTGCCGAGGGCTTGTCGCAGTCGCTGCGCAAACAACTCAGCCGGGGATTAAGTTTGCATGGCCCTGGTAGAGTCTACCCCATTGTTCTCCACTTGTCTTTTGCTGACCCCTCCCCCATTTTCCAATTCTTGGCAGGCGTCCTGGGACTGGCGGCCGCGACACGAGTGTGGTGCGTATCTTACCGATGCGTCGAGTTAGAGTTAGAGAGCCCCCGCGCAGTTAATCACTGTTGGAGCAAGCTTGCGATTAATGATGCACCTCTCGACCTTCTTTGGGCTCCCAGCCGTTGGGTGAAGCATGCGATCACGACCACGACAGCCTGGACAGCCTGAAGACATGCTTGTTGAAGTGGTCGAGATCCCGATGCCCTGGTGGAACCAGAGCCACTTGGACCGCTTGGACTTCCTTCGCGGTCATGACCAAGAGGTACATCCACCGAGCACTTTACCCGAGAAGATGAGCCCTGGGTGCTCTTCAGCATTCCCTAGCCATCGACCGAGTGCGTTCCATGCTGTCTTCGGTGTTTGGAGGCTTCGGGTTGTTGAGCAGGCATCCCTGCATAGTGTAGTGATGTTGTTGTGAGCCGTTGTAGTTATAGAGGGTGCAAGGAAGAAGGAGATTGCGACTTGGTTGTTTCGGTGTTGTCGCAACCAAGGAACCCGGCCTCCAGTCCATGGACTTTGCCGCTTCCGCCTCCTCTGCCCAACTTGCTGGAATGCATGGCCTTGGAAGGGGAGATGCGACGCCCCAGTCGCTCGAACTAATTTAACGCATTCAAAGTGTGCCCGGGAGTGTGCGTAGTCATCGTCGATAACCAAGGCTCCAGCTGGGACGTGGAGAACTTGGAGCCTGCTTACGTGCGCCTGGATAGCCCTCCCGTAAGGGCGGCAGGGCATGGTAGGGGTGCATCGGCGACCCGGCATGGGGACAGTCGGGTCAGTCCAGTGGTTCAGGCTCCAGTCGGTCCAGTGGTTCAGGCTCCACGTGATCCAGGGCTCTCTGGGCAGCGGCTGAAGCGAGTGACACATGTCAAGCACGCGCCCATCTACAAGTATGCCGAGTGGTGCGTGTACTGGGCCGAGAAAGGAGGTAGGGGTCCCGACGAACCGATGACCCCACGCTCCGACTTGACCAAGTCCGAGTTCGATGTGCAGTATGGAGCTTGGAGGAAGGCACTGGTGGAGGGGCCACCGCGAGGGCGGTGCCCCCGAATCCTCGAGCTCAACCAGCACCTGCGTGAGCTGTGATGGCCTGAGCTCTCACAACAGTCATAAATGTGATTCACATGATAAGACAGGGCCGTGCCTTGAAAACGGCAAGAAGCCTGGCTTCTGGTCGTGATGTTTTGCTACTATACGACGATCTGCGAGCATTTCAAGTCTTTCAATTCCACAATGTCTAGCGGAATCCCTTGAAGGAAGCGGCGAGCCAGGTTAATTGGACCGCCGTCGCCTCCGCTGGCTCAGTGCTGGCATCTCTGCTCCGCCACTAACGGGAGTGGTGAGGCACATAGGCCTCCGCCCATGGACCTCACCTTTGCTTCGCCTGGAACCTGGCATTACCTGGCATGCGGCATGCCTCCCCTGCTGACCCCAATGTCCGAAATTCCGAGAAGCTTGAGCCCGAAAATCCGCACTGCAAGCCCAATGCCAGGCAGCCCCGGGCCCAGCCTCACGTAGTGGCAGCATGGGGCTTCAGCCAATGGGGTGGTGAATCTGCTGTGGCTGTTGACAGCAAGCAAGACTCTCTAGGAACACTTCGCGACCCCCCTGGCTAGCTCCTTTTTGCTCCTCGGGAACCAGAACGTGGCTCCTGGGCAATTCGAGCTCAGAGACACATGCCCAGCCCCGCACGCTGGCCGCGCATAAGCGGCGCGCTGGGGCACCCGGTAAAAAAGTCACGTGCGGCGGGCTGACTGTGCGAAAGCCGAATTGGAGCTGAGAAGATTTGGGGGAATTTGTTGGCGGGAAGTCGATTTAGTTCTAGGTGGCGAGGCCAGTCTGCTGTTGTCTTGATAAGAACTCTTCCCATTTGCTTTTGTTTTGGGCTCGCAGCCGTTGGGTGAAGCATGCGATCACGACCACGACAGCCTGGACAGCCTGAAGACATGCTTGTCGAAGTGGTCGAGATCCCGATGCCCTGGTGGAACCAGAGCCACTTGGACCGCTTGGACTTCCTTCGCGGTCATGACCAAGAGGTACATCCACCGAGCACTTTACCCGAGAAGATGAGCCCTGGGTGCTCTTCAGCATTCCCTAGCCATCGACCGAGTGCGTTCCATGCTGTCTTCGGTGTTTGGAGGCTTCGGGTTGTTGAGCAGGCATCCCTGCATAGTGTAGTGATGTTGTTGTGAGCCGTTGTAGTTATAGAGGGTGCAAGGAAGAAGGAGATTGCGACTTGGTTGTTTCGGTGTTGTCGCAACCAAGGAACCCGGCCTCCAGTCCATGGACTTTGCCGCTTCCGCCTCCTCTGCCCAACTTGCTGGAATGCATGGCCTTGGAAGGGGAGATGCGACGCCCCAGTCGCTCGAACTAATTTAACGCATTCAAAGTGTGCCCGGGAGTGTGCGTAGTCATCGTCGATAACCAAGGCTCCAGCTGGGACGTGGAGAACTTGGAGCCTGCTTACGTGCGCCTGGATAGCCCTCCCGTAAGGGCGGCAGGGCATGGTAGGGGTGCATCGGCGACCCGGCATGGGGACAGTCGGGTCAGTCCAGTGGTTCAGGCTCCAGTCGGTCCAGTGGTTCAGGCTCCACGTGATCCAGGGCTCTCTGGGCAGCGGCTGAAGCGAGTGACACATGTCAAGCACGCGCCCATCTACAAGTATGCCGAGTGGTGCGTGTACTGGGCCGAGAAAGGAGGTAGGGGTCCCGACGAACCGATGACCCCACGCTCCGACTTGACCAAGTCCGAGTTCGATGTGCAGTATGGAGCTTGGAGGAAGGCACTGGTGGAGGGGCCACCGCGAGGGCGGTGCCCCCGAATCCTCGAGCTCAACCAGCACCTGCGTGAGCTGTGATGGCCTGAGCTCTCACAACAGTCATAAATGTGATTCACATGATAAGACAGGGCCGTGCCTTGAAAACGGCAAGAAGCCTGGCTTCTGGTCGTGATGTTTTGCTACTATACGACGATCTGCGAGCATTTCAAGTCTTTCAATTCCACAATGTCTAGCGGAATCCCTTGAAGGAAGCGGCGAGCCAGGTTAATTGGACCGCCGTCGCCTCCGCTGGCTCAGTGCTGGCATCTCTCGTCCGCCACTAACGGGAGTGGTGAGGCACATAGGCCTCCGCCCATGGACCTCACCTTTGCTTCGCCTGGAACCTGGCATTACCTGGCATGCGGCATGCCTCCCCTGCTGACCCCAATGTCCGAAATTCCGAGAAGCTTGAGCCCGAAAATCCGCACTGCAAGCCCAATGCCAGGCAGCCCCGGGCCCAGCCTCACGTAGTGGCAGCATGGGGCTTCAGCCAATGGGGTGGTGAATCTGCTGTGGCTGTTGACAGCAAGCAAGACTCTCTAGGAACACTTCGCGACCCCCCTGGCTAGCTCCTTTTTGCTCCTCGGGAACCAGAACGTGGCTCCTGGGCAATTCGAGCTCAGAGACACATGCCCAGCCCCGCACGCTGGCCGCGCAGAAGCGGCGCGCTGGGGCACCCGGTGAAAAAGTCACGTGCGGCGGACTGATTGCTGTTTTGAGCCTGGCGAAAGAGCATACTGTAGTATGGCAGGCATGACATGGACTCTTTTCTTTTTTGCCAAGGTACGCCTCCCAGGCCCTGCTATGGTGCTGGAGGATGCCCGGGAGAAGACAGCACTTGCCGAAAATCGATCCGGGGGAGAGATGGGCCTATATCTGTGCAAATCTCCTTAGTGCTGGTGAGTACCGAGTCGGGCTTCTATGCAGCATCCTTACCGTCACAAGCGCCAGCCAAAGGGTGTGTGTTTTCATTGCTGGGCTTGGCAGCTCGACTGAAGAACTCCATAATGCTCGCGTTGCTTCTTACCGATTACGCAGCTGTATTCCTTAGCCTTGCAAAACCCGAGGTTAACGTTTAGTCCCCCAGGCCCTGTTTAAAGCCTGCTTATGACTTTGATTCGTCCCAGATCCCGTGGCCAGTGACCCAAGTGGCAAAGACGACCCTGATCTGTTGCAGATTTCTCAGTTGCCCCAGTAAATCTCTAAATCAGGGTCCCTTTCTGGGTCCCCTATACAATACATAAGGACCCGAAAAGGGACCCTTAATTTCGAGAACTACCCCAATGGCTGATTGTTTGCATGGATGCTGCTTGTTGCTTGGTGGATGTAATCCTACTGAGCCACTGTGGGGACAAGACCTTATCTTGCTTCCAGGTTCCTTGTTTCTGTATAGCCAAGATTTCCGGTGGAGGGTGTTCAGTTGTTCCCTGCCCCTTCACATCTGCAGTTTTTTCCCGCGTGCAAGGCGCACCTCAACGCATGTGCCTGTGATCGGGCTCGAGTTCAACCAAGTTCTGCTTCTGAAGCTCACAAAGGAGCTTCAGCTTCATTTGCAATTGCCGGGCGTTTTGTGCCGGGAATCGCCCCCTGACATGTTTGGAAGATGGACTCTGGCTGCAAGCTGCTTACTCCTTCAGGTGCCTCGCACAGGGTTTATGGCTGTGGGCGAGGACTCGGTCTACGGCCATATCATGCCATATCGATGTAGACAGCAGTTCCATCGATAAGAGCCAAGTCGTGACCACTTGTAGATTGGGGGGATCGCTGACAAGACCCTCATGCAAATTGACATCTGGTGGGCGTGACGCATGGAGAAAGGGAGCCGAGCTCTTGGCTGAGGTCCTAGCCCAATGCACACGCGGCCAGCCCGGCTGCAAGGCATGGGCAGGGCGCGAAAGCATTAAGGCCCATGCAGAGCAGTCATTGTCATGCTATGCCGCTAATTACTCCCTCTAAGACTTTGCAATACTTGTTCTCTGGGCTTCTGGTCTCACAATGGAAGTCTCCCCCACACCTCGACGTTTTGGTCCGATTGGGCCCCGAGTCTCCTGCTTGCAAGGCTCGGAATCAGGGTTCGACTCTGCTCCAGGCACCTTGGCTTAACAGATTCCGCTTCAAGGCTGTGCCTGAATTCCTGTTTCAGTTCTGTTTCAATTCTGTTCGGTTCTATTCAATTACGGCAGAAACAGCAGTGCGCAATGCGGGCATGCCCCAAGGTGCGCGTGCGGGAGTCTTTACAGAAGGCCTTTCAACCGACACCTTCGATGGGCTTTGCAATTCGAGAATGCACTGCTCTCCCCGTGGTTACCAATGATAGTATGGCAGAACTGGACGCATGTTGTCAGTTGCAGTTGCTCCAGTGCTGCTGCGCTTACATGAGATGGCTGCAGCAAAGATATGCCAAATATGTGCCGCTGTTGGATGTGGGCATATGCACTGTTCAAGACATACTGCACGTGTCCCCGCAACGAACAGCATCTGCATCGAACTCAGTGCGGCTGCCACTCAACTCTCCAGCGAAGCAACCTAAACTCCAAACCGCCACGGCCTCCGAAAGGCACCTTCCCTGGGGCCTTCGAAAGACTTTGTCCTCCTCGAAAATGCCCCTCGCCTGCAGGGTTCTGGGTTCAGGGTTCAGTGACACTGCAAGCTTGATGCAAAGGGTTCAGTGACCGGAAGCGGTGGTCGAAGACCCAGAATCACACTGACAGGGGCAGCGAGGGGTTTCAGAACCGAGGGGAGGAAGCGAAGGTAAGAATGGTAAGAGACCACAAGCCTGGCTTCCAGTGTTCGAGGGAAACAATAGGAACAATAGGGGGCTAAAGGATGACACATCGCCCAAACAGGAGGATGGCAATTGCCTCATGGCCGTTGACGCTCCGCCGCCTGACTGACGAGTCTCATGCGTCACGCGGCCATGTGCAATCTAGACTTCAGGCTGAAGCCAGGCAGCCCTATATCAGCCTATATGATTCATTACGGAACAGACCTGTCTGTAGTGGTTACTGACTGCAGACCACCAGATCTCCACTCCATGCACTCAGCTCCCAGCCGATGTTGCTAGCATTTCCGAGAGGGCTTCAAGTGCCTGAGCTCGCCCCAGGATGAATGGCATCCATCCCACCATGGCCGCCTGTGATGGAGATAACTTCTTGCAGAAGTGGGTGCTCGGACGTGGAGAATGTGTGTAGGAACCATCTAGGATTAAACAGGGGGAGGGCGGTGTACGTCGCTGGTCTTTCGCTTTGCGCTCGCCACGAATCGAACATGCGAGTTTCGACTCCCCGATCCCCCGTGCCACGAGCCATCGATTCGGTACCTCGGGGTTGATTCTTCCAAGGTTTTGGTGTTTTTAAAACCGGTCAATCCTGCAATCTACGATCTGGCCAGAGCATGCGTGGATAAATCGAAGCACAAGCTCGGGCACTGTCACCGGGTACTGTAAGGCTTCGTTTCAGGGAGGAGGTATCGGATTTCGAAGAGAGCCTTTGGGAGTTTCTCGAGGCATACGAGGAGAGTTCTGGCCTGATTCGGCACACTGGCGGCAAGTGCCTGGATGCCTCACAGCGAGAGGCTGGCGGGTTGAGGGTGAGGGCTTCCACGAGGATTGTTCTTAGGCCTTTCTTATAGCTGCTATCTGATGGCTTGCTGGCCAGCATGATCAGAGCTGAAGCCTTGATCCTGCACCCGCCCAAGACGCGACCATGAGACACTCCGAGACGCTCAGCCTGCGCCAGGTTCCAAACGGCTTGGTGCACCTATGGTCCTGCGACAGCAGCGCCTTTGCCCCCAAAAGTGTGGTAAACTATGAGGGCCTTTCTTGTTGAGGCTGCAGGTGGCACGTGGTAGTGGTCTGGCATAGGCCTGGCAAGCACATGGATCACGCAGGAAAAGTCGCACTGGGAAATGCTGGGGCATGCTTTTGGTGCCCGCAGCCAAGGCAACGAGAACCAGATGTGGGAGTGGGATTCCGGCAACACCGGGAGACTGAAGAATCGCTACGGCATTTGCCTCGATGCGCCCGATCCACAGGCAGAGACTGACATGTCAAGATGATGTTTTTCTGGGGGTGCATGTTACAAGACGGCCCGCTACTGTATTAGCGTTGCCACAGTGGCAGCGAAATCCAGGGAGCCGAGTATACACCTTCGCGAAGCGCCCCCAACCCAGACGCACCCGATAAGCAATTTATAATAACGGAGTGCCAAGCTGACGTCGAGGACGCCCAGCCAATTGCTTACAAGCAGCTGCGCCTTCAAACCGCAACCCCCAAAGCGTAGCCAAGTCCAAAAGGTTGCTTTCGGAAGCATTTTGTCGTCACCGATGCCCTGGTCAGGTTGAAGGGAGTGGGGTGCACATGTGGACCTGCGACGAGACGATCACCAACCAGAAGTGGCACTTCGTCGCAGCCGACACGGAGACACGGAACTGCACCCTGAACTATTTTTGGCACAGATCATGTGAATTTTTAAAGCCCGGAGCCGGAACCTGATGCAGGAGAACTTCACGACGGCCGTGCCATCCTCGAGCACGGGAGAGCCAACGACCCTTGGCCCGCAAAACTAGCTGATTGGCATCACTTCCAAGCAGATCTTGCTCAAACATGTTCAGAAACGTCGGGCACGGAACGGCAGATGCGTGTTGTCGGAAGTGTCGCGGGCTTATGCAAGAAGTTTTGGGAGGATGGGCTTCCTTTGCCTAAATCAGCCGAGGGAGAGCACAACGACAGGGCCCACCACGACAACAACGACACCCACGCCCCTCTCTGCCTTCCGCAACTGTCAGCTGGACATGAGGGGTAACTACCGGTAACTACCCAGATGATAAATGATGATAGTCAATCTGCCAAGTCCTGCTCTAGTCTGACTGCTGAGACCGCATGTCACAGAAGCAACAAACAGAGTGGCCAATGTTTGGCAAGGACCGCTCTGGCAAGCCATCTTCAACCGTTTGTCCTGTTGCACAGGAGCCGCTGGTGGAAGGCTCCGGCTGCAAGCTCTTGGAAGTCGCTGAGGGCAAAGAGCGCCTTGGCTTCCCCACCGATGTTTATGGTCGATTTGCTGAGTGCCAGACGTTGGAATCCGTTGGAAGGGGTCGTGGTGGGATGCAAGCCCCTTAGCCTTAAGCCGTCCGACACTTCTGGAACCTGCGCGGACTAGTGTGCCTTTGTCTTGATACCAAGTGAAGCCTTGCCTGCTGCGCGCAAGTGTGAGAGTCGAAGCCGTGTTGACGTTTGCACGAGGAAGGCTGCAACACAGTTTTTGCGCATGGGTAGCAACCAGAAGAGCACGTGTCGCAACACATCTTCGTAGTACACGTTGGCAGGTTTGATGTGGGCGAGAATGGGCAGGACGAGAGCAAAACTCCCGAAACCCTGAGTGAGCTGTGGTGTGCAGTATTTGATGATTTGTGGTGGCATTGTGGCGTTTCAGTGCGACTTCCTTAGTCGTGCCTTCCTTGATGCACCCACTAATGATGATAGGTTGTGTTTCCGGGGCTCAAGCGAATCCCAGTTCTTTTGATTGCAAAAAGAAGGATTCACCATTCACCTTCAAATCTCATTCGGACATATTGTTCGGTCAAAATATAGTAGGCACGCATGAGTATCATAGTGCAATATCTTAATATGAGGGCAGCATATGATAAAAGGATAACACGATGATATGGTCATATTAGTAAGAGATTCATGAGATGCAATATGAAGACAAAAACATGGTAGCTCAATAACTCTTCTGGTGACACATTAGATCTGTATGATGTTTGCTACGCAGAAAACCGGGACACGATCCTGACAGATGTCTCTCATGTTCAAGGGGCTCTGTATGAGCTGGGTGTGTTGGTCTCGTTTTCGGCGAGTGGTTGCGAGCTGTCGCTGATGGGGCGTTGTAAACTTGTTCATGCGATCTAACAACAGTGCAGTCGCATTCCCCATCTCAGGCAGTTGCAGAGCGCGGGTTTCAAAGACGACATAGTAGTATGATGCCATGATAACATGGAAGAATGGCGGTAACCGCATATCAAGAGAAGAATATACGAACATAAGAATCATAATCGCATCATGCTCTTTCAATATTTCTAGAACAAGTAGATAGTGGGTAAGGTTTTCTTGTTTAGCCTCCCTTCAGCTAACGGATCTGTCAGAAGATTCTTTCTTTTTGCATATATCAAGTAGTTGAGATCCCTTTCGTAAGCCAACTTTATCCTCCCGGCCGGATCTCTCCCTACCACTCCCTGGCTCAAGAGAGCCGAAAGCTGGGCTCCGTGACTGCCGCAGGAGACGAGCGGCCGGCATGCATGCTTGCAGAAGCTGCGTACAGTGGCGGAGGCCCAGCCACAGCCTTGAAGACAATTTTGAGTGACTATCTCGCAATGCACATACTTCACCTTCTGAACTTCCCAACAGCAAATTCACGCTCCCTACACACACACACACACATATATATATATATATATATATATGCACATGTCCTAGACTAGATATGCGCTTGCTTGCTTCGCACGGGTCGACTGACCTTTTGAACCGAGAAGTCTCTCAACGGGTCGCAGGCCAACTTCGTTTCTCGGGCTTGTGGGTCTTAACAATGTTTATATACATCCACATGGGTACGCGTACGTGCTCCCACACACACACATGTTCCGAAGGCAGAACGAACTCGCCAACCTGCGCCAGGCAGACACCTTTGTTCACTCCCTTGGCCGGTCCCCCTGGCAGTTGTTTGCTGATGGGGAGAGGGGGACAGTGTCCACGATGCAGACCTTGCCTGAGCCAGCCCGACCTCAGAACCTTAGGGGAAGGTTGTTGGTAAGGTTCTTAACTTGACAGAATGGACGTAAACAGATATGGAAAGAACAATGGAGACTTTGTGTCGGGTGCTGGGGTGCAGGGTGGGGCTCAGAGGGTGTGTGTTGATTTGCCTGAAGAGGTGCGAGCTTTGGCAGTGTTCCACACTGGCCCGGGTTCGGATGTCCTCGGGACCTGGTGGCGGCCTCTCCGAATCGCCCTATGCCGTGCCTGCGAGGAGGTTGAGTCTCTAAGTAGGGGAGATAGAGGGGAGTTCATCTTCTGAGAGAATTGGATGGGATTCAGGGGCCTGAGGCCGTAGGTTTCGATGCTCGGCTCTGTTTCCTCGTGCGGTTGCCGTTGTCTCCTTTCCTCACAAGCAGTACTGGGCCTGTCCATGTGTCATCTGCAGGTTGGGAGTTGGGGGGTCCTCCCAAAGTTTTTCTCAGTCTCGTTTTTGGACATGCAGTATCTAGTATGATCTAGGAGTGACTAGTGCAGTGCCTAAATGCCGCCTGCCCTTTGTCTAAGGTCACGCTGAAGACCGCTGGAGGACGCTACATCACCGCGGCCGCAGATGGAGCCATGAAGGCTGAGGAGGAGGCCTTTGTCCCTGAAGCCCTGTTCTTGCTCATGCCCGCAGAGGCCGGGAAGTTTGTGCTGAAGGCCCAGAACGACCGATTTGTGAAAGCCGAGCCCGGTGGCCACCTTGCTGCGGTGACGGAGGCTTGGGATGACTGGGAAGAGTTTGACGTTGTCAGGCATGACAGCGGCAAAGTGTCGCTGCGCAGCTTTCACAACACCTACGTATCGGAAGGGAGCGGTGGAAGCGTGGCAGCAAATGCTGGATCTGCAACTGATGCGACTATGTTGGAACTTGTGAACCGGTCCCAGGCCAGCCAGCAAGATGGTTCGGCAGGGTCGTTTCGCAAAACTGTGTCAGATGGACTGAGTCATTCAGTATGCGCCCGGCCCGCTGAGCAAGCGGCCGTGAGATGCTGTTCCAGTGATGGCTCCGTGGCGAAAGAGGATACGTATGGCTGCCACGACAGGAAGAACTATTCCGAGGCCGTGGCCATTTGCGAAGATCACGGCCTGCAGCTTTGCACAGACGTGCAGGCCAAGGGCTGCAGCGACTGCACCTGCAGCTTCGAGAACAAGCAGATTTGGACCTCCTCAGCCTGCAAAGGTACCGAGGGCCTCACCCAACGAAGGCTGAGCCAAAGGAACGACCGCGCCGCGGTTGTCAGCAACCTTTGTGGCTACCAGCCGGGCAAGGGTGGCCTGCATGGCGAGGAGGTGCGATCCACGGTTTTCGTCAAGCTGCGCCCCGGTCTTCAAATCGATGTGACGCGATGATCCGTCCGTTTTCTAATCTCAATCTCAAACTTACGTAATTCTTATCTTATGACATTTGTACTGAAATGCATTGCATCGACTTGAAATTAACTGTATTGATTTTCTCTTTGGAGTTTTATTGTCTGGTATTGTATCATGTCGTATTGTATTTTACATTTTGTGTGCAATATATCGATATATATATATATATACATGAAGTCTACGTATACGGTATCATATAAGTCTATAAGTTATATGATGGAGTTTGCAGTTGGTTTCGAAGGTCTTTGGCTGGCTTGCATGGGGGCAGATCCTTTGTTTTGTGTAAAGTCCTGCGCCAACACAGGATGGAGTGGAACTACAACGACGTAGCCAAGGAGTGTGTGGACTCTTGCTGGCAACAGGGCATAGAGAGGGGTGCCTGGCAAATTCCGCCGCATGCATGCAATGCTTGACATGTTGGTGCCTGGGTCGGAACTCGTGCGTTCTGTCAGTAGTCATTTGTCTTCACGGAGTTTGTGGGGTCCAAAAATGAAAGAAGGTTAGAGTGTACAGTGTGTGTATGTGAGCTGTTCTGGACATCGGATGTCTCTCCATTCGAGCCCCTCTCTGGGTATGTTTTCTTCGCCTGTGAAGAGACGTGACCAGTCGGACATCCCAACATCTTGAATCGCCAAGCAAGGAATACCTGGCGCCCAATGGCTTTGATGCCGTCCAGGTCGCACCCGTCACGGAACACGCCCCCTGCCTCAAGGAAGCGTCTCTCAGAATAGGTTTTAGAGAGGCAATCGACCTTGAGGGTTGAGAGCATTGGTACCCCGCATGCCACTTCCTACAGATACGACTGTTGCTTCCAATGGATGATGCAGGATGGGGCTGAGGGTTTCGAGTTTGGTGGATCAGAGAACCGAAAGCTTTGGCAAGCCATGTACGGCAGCTTTCAAGCGACGTGACCCCAATGTCATATTCCACGTGCTCGAACGACCGGCTCTTCCTACACTGGTACCCTCCGTTTGCACAGCCCTTCGAGCTTGACTAAATGCAGATCCAGCTCATTTGACCCAGTAGCTCACTCCCTCAAAGCCCCCCAAAGCTTCTTGCGATTCTTAACCGTCTGAACCCTTCCGCAACCTACTCCATTCAGAGTGCCACGGCCCCTTGTGCCCAGGTGTTGGGCTACCAGTGGTGGGTGAAATATCAGCCTGTCTCCGCTGGCCTAGACACGCGTTCGGGCACGGAGGCGGAGTTCAGGACGGGGCCATATGGCATGTGGAGCGTTGTTCCAGTGATAACACATTGTTGTCGTAGATGTAGCCTTGAAACAAATGCATAGACGATCTAGCATCTAGGGGTTGGGAGTTTTTGGGCTCTAGGGGCGCAAAGCAAGTTTCCACTGAGACTTCAGGACTTGAGGGTGATACTTGCAGAGCCCTATGGGGTCAATGCCAGCGGTTTTGTTTTGGGAGCAAAGCCATGTGTTGAGACATCGCACAAGCAGCTGGTGCCAGGGCGATGGTGGCCACCTGCCGCGCTGTGGGCGTGCAGGTGATTGTGGACATCCTCATGAACCACATGGCGTCCCCGTGCCCTTTGGAACTGCACTCGAGAAAAGGTTCAGACACCTCCGATCACAACTCGTTCTCATTTGTCATGAAGTGCGTACATACCCGCCTCGAGAGTCAAGAGCCCTGCCAATCAAGGCAAGGCGGCCTTGAAGCTCAAGAAGAAGGCCAACCGAACCAAAGATGAAGCTGCTTGGCGGCAAGGCTGTCCATGGATGTCCAGTTCCTGGATACCTTTGAAGCGATGTTCCGTGCCTGAGGACATGCCTTGCGTCGGCTGGGGTGGCAGCCGCTATGGCAATCGACTCCAGAAGGGTGCGCGAGGCAGTGCTGAACTTTTTCCTTGCTTTGGCGACTGCTACTGGCAGCTTCAAGACGCCCGCGCGATGTCCATCCCTTCAAGCGCATACTGCACCATTATGGGCTGCTTGCGTGCACAGGATGGGACGCCGCAAGCCCGAAGCACTTTCATCACAAGAAGGAGGACCCTGACCATGCACCGCAAATGGATAAGGGGCAGCTCTTGTCGTTAATCCGCTTCGGATTGTCAGGTTTTGGGTGGTTGGATGAAGTAGTTGTCCTGGAGAAGCAGGGACAGACGCAGGCCATGATTCCACACACGGAGTTCCCTCAAATTTTACTGATCAGTTTTGCAATGCTGATCTCGAAGGATGACACCCAGCCGGCATGCAAGGCGGAATCTGACGTGCGGTTGCTTCTGTTGCGGAAGTTTCCTGGTTCTGGCCGTTTCCCCGTGCAGTCTCTGCAACAATTACCTCAGTGCAAGTTCCCAGCAGGTGGGTCCTCAGACTGGGTGGCTGTGCCCCAACGATGACTGCACTCCATGCGACATGTGACTCGCCTCTGCCTGGGCTCAGGGGGCCCAGCGCTGGGCTGAAGGTCTTCCCACGGTTTTTTTCTCTCGGGGCACAAAGTCAAGCATGCATCTGATACTGTTGACAAGAACGAGACTCACATGAACTTCCCCTCCCGAAAAGGTATGCCCTCCCAGACTACGCCACGGAGCTCGAAGAGGTCCGGGAGATGCAGTTCAAGCACCTGGAGGCCTGTGTTGTGTTTCGGAGCATCCTCGCCTTGTTGGGCTCAGTCATGCTTCCCTCAACCCCGCAAACCCCCCTCACTTTCGACTTCGCTTGGGGGCATAAGCGCTATAGAGCCGATGCGGTAAAGCTAAGTCCATTGCGATTTTCAGAGAGATCCGCGATGGAATGAGGAGCTCTTCCACATCGGCGTTACTGCGCTTCGCGTGGATGCTTGGGTCTTCATGTGGGGTTTGGACTTGGATCCGTGCTTGAGTGAGAGGTTCAGGTGGCGTGGTGCAGGCTGCAGGCTTTCGCACGATGGCACGATTTACACATTTACTTTGGTACAGCTACTATCACTGTCCTACCTTTCCAATGCGGAGGTGCATACTTGCAAGTAGAAAGTGAAAGTCCAAGCATCGGGCGAGGGTAGTGAGATTTTCAGATGTCAATGGGCAGAAAGAAGATGCCATTGAAAAGCAACGTGCGTACTACGCGCGCACAAGGACGCCGCAATCTACCATCACGTCTACGAGCTCGCGGACTCTTGACTGCAATGAGACAGCACAGGGATACCCGAAGAACATATAGTTGCAGTGACTGTTCCCGACGCAGCTTTGTGTCGTGGCCCCCCAAGGACATGTTGAATGGGCTCCCGTGGGATCTCGTCTATCAGGAATGGTGGGGCGAATATCCCCCGCACGACCGAACTGAGTACGTTGGCTTGTACCGGGATGTGGCGTACCGCTGGCATTTGGTGATGCTCAGTCTGCACTTGGAGTCGCTTTTGGCCTTCTTGCTCCTTATGAGCTTGGTAGTGCCAAGACTTCCCAAGTAGTATGGGAAGCATCTCAGGCCATTATTTTCTTGTTATGGTTCGGATACATTTCCGTCTCACAAGCTAAATACGCTTTCTGAGGCAAGCTTGCGTTTGGGAATGCGCTGTGGATATGGTTTACGGCAAACCCCCAGCAGATAGAATATTTTGATATGGTCCCCAATACAAGCTTTTGCACAATGCCCAATACAGGCCCGAATACAGGGTTGAATACGATTTTTTCCATGAGGCAAGCCATTCATGCTGCATGATTCATATGAGCAGCAGAAGCTGTGCAAGAATGCTCCGCCAGGCACCTCTGTATTGGAATCATATTGGAGTTGTGTTTTTCAACGTGGCCAAATCGTATCCGAATCGTATTCAAATCGTATTCAAATCGTATTTGAAGTGTATGCTTGGAGAATTGGCGAGTTTCCTCGATGCATTCACCTGCGTATCGCCCCTTGTATTCTAGATGGTATCCAGTTCGTATCCATCATGTACTGGAAATGTATTCATATCTGCACTCGTATCCCTGAAACGTATCGATATTGTATGCAACCCCATAAAAGAAATTCTGAAGCTTTTCCTGCCGTTCACAGACTTGGGAAGTCTTGGTGGTAGTGCAAAGCCTTGGTTATAGTTCTGGCCGTAAGGAATCGGTTGGCAGGCAAGAACGCCACGGATCTCCCCGAGCTTCTGGAGCTGGATGGCGGCGTCTTCGGCATCACGCAGGACATGGCTGTCTACCCCTTCGCGTATCACGACGGCCGCAGCAAGGATGCAGATCCTGAAATCGCGACCTACAAGAATGGGCTGGCCTTCCACCAGCAGCAGAAGTTCTTCCTGTCGTGGCCCTTTGGGGAGAAGGTGCTGGTTTGGGGTGGCTACGGGTGGCGGGACCTTAACCATGGGCCACCGGGCTGCGACAAGTCAGATGGTGACCACTGTACGCCAGACTCCGTCTACGACGAGGGCGGAAATGCTCAGTGCATGCCAGCCCCGACGGTGTCTCCACTTTCCAAGTCGGACGCACGGGAGCGGCGGTGGATTTGTGAGCACCGCTGGCAGGGTGTAGCAGGCATGATGCACTTCCGCAAGGCCTGCCGACAGCATGCTGTGACGGAGAAGTGGGAAGGTGGACAGACCGAGGGCATAGGGGTCGGCCGCGTCGCCTTCCGCCTCGGCAGCGACTGCTTCGTGGCGCTGACCCGCGGCAGGAGAGAGGACGAGGACGAGGACGTGGCCGGCGTCGGCGGGACCTGGGACTTGGCGGGCCTCAAGGTCGAGCTGCCCCAAGGTCGCTACTGCGACATGTCCTCCCTCCACACGCAGAAGGGCTGGGACCAAAGCAGCTGCCCCAGGGAGGTGGAGGTGGACGAGCAGGGAGTGATCCGACATGGCTCCGTCACGCAGGGAGAGCTCCTCGACTGCGGATCAAATACACGCGATGTAGCATGGACAGGCTGTAAGGTAGCAGATACGTGTAACGTTTCCGTGTTATGCCCACGACATCGTCTCCAACTTGTAGCTGTCCTTCCAACTTGTATGGTTGCGATTAAAAGGGGGCCGTCCCAGCATATACAGACATCCTTCGATGATTCCGATGACCAAACCGAAACATGAACAGCTCATCTGCTTCCGAGTTGATATTCCACAAAACCTCCACGGACTGTTCTGGTCTCCAACACGTGCTCCGCCGCGCGTTTCTTGAGAGGCCGTGATGAGACTTAACCCGAATTTGTATCTGCTGACCAGGATCTTGGCCATTCACACCGGGGCCCGCGTGACCAGCCTGTTTAGCTGATCCCAGAGGGCCGCGCATGTCCCGGCTTCATGGGGGGTTTTGTGGAATGTATGGTCAACGGAGCTTCCCATCAAAGGGCTCAGGCTTTTCGAAGGCATGAGAGCCAGGAGGCTTCGAAGCCTATGGCAAAAAAGGAAGGGCTGGTCAAGGATGTTCAGGGTGCGCAGCACTCACGGGATGACAGAAGGGACATGGGCGGTACCCAACACCTGCTTGTGGAATTCAGATAGAGGCCATTGCCAACAGTCCCCAATCGATCAGCGCCCTTGCTTCAAGGACCTGTATCTCCTTGAATCGAAGGCCTCGAAGTACTTTAAGTACCGCAGTCACTCATCAAGTGCCTGACAAGTGGGCATGCTGTTTTTTCTCCGAATCCTTTGCAGGGGCTGACATACAAGCCCACTTAGCACTCACAGCCCGCCGCTGGATTTACAGAGATTTGGCCAGTCACGGGCGTAAAACCTTAATTCAACCTGAGACAAATCCGGCCCGCCTTCTACCATACTATCGGTGCTGGCACGCTGAAAAGACTTGAACCTGCAAAGGTCTGTTATCGTTCATACTTCTGCATGGATTACAGTGGTTGCAGCAGCATGCGACGAGAATATGGTCCCAATGTTCGGACTACTTCAGTCCCCAGTGCAGCTTAAGAGAGGTGGGCGGGATATGCAACACCTTGTTTTCCGTAGCGCTTGCCAGCTTGCTGCAGTAGGCCATGGTGCCATGGTGTTATAGTGACCATCGCTCAGACTTCCTTCTTCCTTCAAGACGTAAGCCTGCCGGACGCCCAGTACCAGCAGCCGCAAGATGGCAAAGATGGAAGGGCTGCTGTAAAGAATCGCCCGAACACCGGGATGTCCTTCGTACTTGTAGCTTGATGCGGAGTCGGGATGCACATGCACAAGCAAGGCTTGAGTGCATGCTCCAAAGGTTTGTGCTATAGCTCATAGCCGAAGATTATGATGATCAGATTCCTAGAATCTCAGCATCAGCGCTGCCCTTGTCGGAAGTGTCGGGCTAGCTGTTGTGGCACAAAGCCCGTCAGCAAGGCCTCACAAGTTCATGCAGAACAACTGCGCGAGACCATGAGGAAGCTCCTCAAGAGACCTTGTGGAGCAGTGGTTCGAAATAAGGCACGAGTGTTTCGGAGCTTCCATCGGGTTGTTCACGGCATCCCCAATACTTGCAGCTGCCTTTCAGTAGCCCAGCAAGTTGGGGGGCCGACCGCTTCTCCCTGTCCGTCCCGAGAAATCTCTAGACCCCTACGAGAGAACGAACCCCTGGGCGGTCGGAGTGCGCCCCTGAAGAACGAGTGTTGGACACAATGTCACAGCTCAGCGAAGGCCTGTGGCAGGGTGCCGGGATGTGTAAAGAATTTTATAGATGCCTGGGCTGGTCCCCAACAAAGCATGCCGCGACGAGGGGGCTTTGCAACTTCGAAGCCTCCGAGCGCTACAGTCCTTGGGGGCCTTGCCTTGGGAGTGTCATACTCTTGAAAGTCCAACGATCAAGCGCCGAGCATCAGTAAAAGATCCGAGAGCCTGAGGTCTGATGAGTGAGTTGCGCTTGGTGTGCGGTTGGGGCTGGGTTTGGCAAACAATTGCCATGTCAAGCCCGTTGATGCAAGGCACTTGTTGCTTTCCAGAGCATGAGGAGAGGGTGAATGTTGTGTTTTGACGAGCCTGAAGGGGTCGAGGCTCGACGCCACTTAACATTTTGCACCTGGCCTGGCTGGCCATAGCGGGACTACAGTGCTGATGAGCATCACAGGTGCAAATCGCAGGTGCAAGTCGATGCGGCCGCTGGAAGGACTTGTTCAGATCGGGAGGGCAAAGACCCTGCTCGTTGAAGGGGGGGAGGGGGGGCTGAAAAGAGACCAAGGATCAGGATGGAGCCAAGCACCCCACGCAACATGTTAAAACCACTTGTGAAAGCAGACGTCGGCCGTCTACACGACGAAGATGCAGAAGGACAAACAACGACGAAATACGTGAGCAACGACAACGCAAGCTCAAGCAAAGCAGGAAGCCAAGACCTAGGCAAGAAATCCTGACCCCATAGGCCCATAGGCCCTAGAAACCCGCAGCAGTCCGTTATGGCCATGTGGCTGTTGGCCCTTCTGCTGGCTGCTGCCCACAGCCACAGCTGCCCGGAGCGGGGATGCAGGGCGGGGCAACTTGTCGTGGCGACTGAAGGGTCTGAGGATTTGAGAGCCACGCTTGACCGCTTAAGGAATTCAACTTGGGTTTAGGAGCCCAGGAATTGAGTAATTGACAGAATGCCAGTCAATGAGTTTCTTTCCGTGCCGGTTCTGCCGCCTCGCTTGCACACGAGGCAGCCAGGACCTGGACTTATGGCATCCCTGCTTGGGTACAGTATTTTCCAGATGTCTCTAGATTAAACTAACCAGGGCATACGACCCCAGTCGAGCAGGGTTGTCCTCACTCACTCACTCACTCGCTCACTCACTCGCTCACTCACTCACTCACTCACTCACTCGCTTACCAACACCAACACCAACACCAAGACCTTGTGTCGAGCGCTAGTATGTGATCGTATATGGGATACTCATCGCTTCGTATTGTTTGGTGCAGAAGTAAGATCATCCCACTCATGCCAGAGTTGGCCGCTCTGGTGTACCTGCATAATTTGTTTTGTGATACAGGGCAAGCTGCGAATGGTGCCGTGCTCGCTGTTGTGCATCTAGAAGTCCTGTAGTCTTGGCTCCGTTGTTCTTGTTGGGATCAGGTACAGGTCGAGCCTGTTGCTTGTTCCAAGGTGTCTGTGCGCGTGTCGGTGGGCTGTTGCAGATATTTAGGTGAGTGTGTGTGTATGCGCGTGCGCAATGCATCATTAGTGATTTGTATGAAGCCAAGCTTGCACTTCTCTGCTTCTCACTTCAGGCAGCAGGGCCCGACCTTGCTGCAGCTCCAGGCGCGCGATGCGCGTGGGGAGGTGCGGTGGGTGGCACGGCATGGCGGGGCTTGGGCTTCCCTTCTCGGGTCTCTTGTTGGCGTCTGGTCCACCCAGGGGCTGAACTCGAGCTTCCCCCCACAATACTTCTTCTAATGACACGACCGTGTCGCGTTTTTGCCTCCATCTCACGGCATGGAAGGTTGATACTGCGCTCAGCCACCTGGCCGCCGATGAATCACCTTGGGATTCTTGAGATTTTGTCACGCTAGCTTCGACAGGCAGTGGGCTGCCACATTGCACTTTTGCAGTTTTCGGATCTGTTCGTGTGAGGTCGTGGGCGTGATTTCGTGCTGCTGGAAAACAATGATGGTAATTGCTTGGAAGCCTCCAATGCTGGGCACAATGGCGTGCGCCCCACTATGCAGGCGGCACATACTGCTGCGCAAGAAGTCATCGCTTCAGATCAGGGCTTTCGGATCCAACCCACCAGCAGTTCCTATACCCCGGCCTCATCCTTTGCAGATTGTTCGGCAGTGTTCACAAACTTGCTTCTCCCAACGTGAAAGGCTTGCGATGCCGACAACTTCCTGCAACACTGGGTCCCGCGAGCTGTGTTCAGCACATGCTTGTGGTTTCTTCTTTTTTGAACGTATCTCCGTTCCCATCTCACAGCGGCAATTCTTGCGTATCGAAGCATAGCCCGAACCTTGCCCGGGCCATCTGAACGTGCAACAACAGGAGCCCGCCAAAGCCTTGTGTGCACCAGACTGAGGAATATCACGGCGAGACAGGCCTGCTCAGACACGTAGGTGGCAAATGCCTCGATCCTTGGCTTCCATGCCTTTCTGTTTTAGGGCTCGGGGTTTGCGGCTTCTGCCATGATTGCAATGCGGTGCGTAGATAAAGGGTGTTTTCTCATGAAATTAGGAGATATTGGGAGGCTACAATGCGGGGTAGGCAGGTCAGGTATCTGGGCCGGGCTTATCGCATGAGTTGCTGCGGCTGCTCGGCGCGCTGTGTGGGGTTGGGCTCTTGGGGCGTCTTCGCAGTCCCAAGAGGTTGCCCCAAATGGGGTCCTCAAAACACAACAACTGTTTGCCGGTATGACACCAGGGCGGGACGTGACCTAAGGAAGCGAAAGGTGAGGGCACCAGGGGTCCCAGGCAGGCTTCCCAGAATGTTCTGCATTTTTTATGAATGAGACTTGCAGGAAGCGGTGTTTTTGGGCTTGGGGGGAGGGAAGGAGACCAGATGCTGGTCTGCTTTTTCTAGACGCCCTTGGCCAGTGGAAATTCAACCTGCCCATGTGCCATATCCCAGGATGCTTCTCAAAGAAGTGCTAACGCCGGGCTCGTTCACCTATGGGCATGCGACGCCAGCAACGAAAATCAGATGTGGGACTGGGATGGCACTGGAAGGGTCAAGAATCGGTACGGTATCTGCATGGATGCCCCATCGCCACAGGCTGGGGGCCAGCTGGATGAATCTATGAAGCTTTTTGCCGTCCATATGTATGTGTAACGCTATAGGAATCAGATTTTCTTTGGCGACTTGGAATGTGTTCTGCTTTTGGCGTGGTGCCGCGCTTGCGCAGCTCAGGTAGCGGCATCCACATGTGGACTTGCATTGATGGTCTAGGCAACCAGCAATGGCACTCTGTACCTGCAGGGGTGAGAAATTTCACCACAGCCAAGCCAAAGGCAAGCACCACAACCACTACCACGACCCTAGTCACTACCTCCTCGGGGAGTGCCACGCCTACCACACCTACCACACCTACCACACCAACCGGGACACCAAGCACCACAGCAGTGACCACATTACCCAGTACGACCACGACTACCACGACCACACCCCAACCACTCACAGCGTTCCGAAACTGTCAGCTCGAGCCCTTGGTCGAGGGTTCTGGCTGTCGCCGCTTGGAGGTCTTCGAAGGGGAGCAGTTTGACATCGGCGAGAACAGCCAGGAGACGGCTGGCCGCCATGCTTGCTTGAAGAAGCTGCGTCTAACCAAGGACGCCGACACCTTCGTCCACTCTCTGGGTCGTTGTGAGCTCTGGCACTGTGCCACACTAGCACGGGTGAAGATGTCGGCAGGCCCTGGAGGTGGGCTGTCCGAGTCTCCTTTCGCTGTCGCTCTGAAGACAGCAGGGGGCCGCTACATTACTTCTGCAGCTGATGGAACGATCCGAGCCGACGAGCAGGCTTTCGTGCCGGAGGCTTTGTTCTTGCTGATGCCAACCGATCATGGCAAGTTTGTGCTGAAAGCGCAGAATGACAGATACCTCAAGGCAGAACCTGGTGGGCACCTGTCTGCTGTAACAGTGAACTGGGATGACTGGGAAGTGTTCGACGTCGTGAAGCAAGACGGCGGCAAGGTCGCTTTGAAGACTTTTCACAACACCTACATCGCTGCAACCGAGGAAGGCTTCGTCTCCGCTACAGGTTACGACATCACCGGGGAGACGATGTTGGAGCTTGTCAATAGGTCCAGAGCGGCTTTTGACCAGGGCCTCAACCAAGTCCAGTTTCACAAGACTGTCTCAGATTCCTCCACCCATTCAGTATGCAGCAGACCAGGCGAGCGAGCCGCTGTGAGATGCTGCTCTGAGGGCGGCGTAGTGAGCGAAGCCACGTATGGGTGCCACGAAAGGAAGAATCTGTCCGAAGCAGTGGCCATCTGCCAGCAGAATGGTCTGGCGTTGTGCACACCGGCACAGATCTCAACCTGCATTGGCTGCAGCACCTGCAGCCTCGAGAACAAGCAGATTTGGACTTCCTCAAGCTGTGAAGGGACAGAGGGCCTCACCCAGCGACGGCTCAGCCAAAGGAACGACCGCGCCGCGGTCTTCAGCAGCTTCTGTGGCTACCAGCCGGGAAAGGGCGGCCTCCATGGTGAGGAGGTGAGGTCCACAGTCTTCGTCAAGTTGAGACCTGGCTGTGTTTTGAATGATAGGCTCAGGGTTGGGGGTGCAGAGTTGTGTTGCCAAAGGGCATTACTAATTACCGAGGCAACGTGGGCTTGAGGGTCTGAGGGTGTCCAGGATGGAATGGAACTACAATGACATCGCCAAAGAGTGCACAGAGTACCTGGCCCCAAACGGCTTTGATGCTGTCCAGGTCGCCCCCGTTACAGAACATGCCTCTCGGTTGCAGCCTGCCCTGGACCGGTAGGCCTGTAAGATCCTGTAAGCTTGTAGTAAGGCAGCAGCCCAACCACGTAGGCCGCAGCCCAGGTTTTGGGGTACCAGTGGTGGGTGAAGTACCAGCCAGTGTCGGCGGGCCTGGACACGCGCTCGGGCACTGAAGCAGAGTTCAGGCCGCTTTGAAAATTCAGTCAGGGGAGCCGTATCGGTGGGGACGGAATTGTACTCCAGGTTCATTCATTCTCCCCAAGGCCCCATGGGGTACGAGGTCCAAGCGTCGGGGTTCACTGTGTTTGATTATCAGAATCAGAGTGTTTCTTAAGGATCCAGATGCGTGTAAGTAGGTACCCTCGAAATCACATGAGTCACCTTAGCTGTTGTTGAGCCTGTCTCAGGGCTATGGTGGCCACTTGTCGGGCAGCTGGAGTGCAGGCGTGGTGGCGGGCAAGTGCGGGAGATGCTACAGGGCCGTCAGGTTTCAGTTTCCAGCCCAAGACTCAAGACCCTCCGCAGTTCTGAAGTCTGCTGTAAGGTGTTGTGATAGCACAGAGACAGGATGCCCATAGCAGCTCCACAAACCACAAACACCAGGTGATTGTGGACATCCTGATGAACCACATGGCGGCCCCATGTGGCTCAGCGACCTATAGCATGCTAAACCTTCAACTGAAGAATGTGGCGTTTGGCACATCTGCAGCTTTCACGTGTTGTGTGTTGCGCATGCAAGCTTTCCTACGAAGCTATGACGTAGACAAGGCCAAGAGGCGAAGAAGATGAAGCACAAGACAGCCAACTGGACGGTGGACTCGGCCGCCTGTCGCTGCCAGCATATGTTCTACAAGCGGTGGAACCCCAAAGTTCTTCCAAAGCTTCATGAAGCATACCCTCAGCATAGCGAGACGAACTGTAGACTCACACAGAGTTTGTGCATGTCTCCTATGCAGCTGCCTAAATCCTCAAGCCAAACATCACGAAGGATATGCCGTGCGTTGGGTGGGGTGGCAGCAGGCCCCATGGCTTCATGGGTTCAGGGGGTTTAGGTGTTGAGTGTTTCGAAACCCGGTTTTGTGGTTGAACTGGTTGACGTCTTTTCGAGGAGTCGATTTAGGTCTGGTGTCAACACCCTGAAACCCGGTGATGTAGTCAGAACTTGACAACCCCTCCAATTTGTAATTCGCTGCGAACAATTTCCATATATGCTTCAGAAGTGCTCTTACGTGAGCTTCAGGCCTCATCGGTTGCGTGCTGTGAGTGGCCTTTCATTTCAAGCTCAGCATGATTGCAGATGCGTTTTCTCAGCCGCGTGTCGAACCCATCCCTGAGCCAGCCACAGCAAGCAGACAAAGGCAGACCCTTAGCGAATAATTCCCCACACCTTGGGGCTGACATGGGTTTCATGGTCCATATTGTGTGTTGGGAAAACAAGTGGTTCTTGGGGTATGTGCTACCAATTTTATGGTTCGTTGATCCCCCCAAGTATCTGAACCCAATCAGGTATGGGAACCGCATGCAGCAGGGCGCAAAGGGCTGGGACGCTGCCCTGCCTCGCCACTTTCACCACAAAAAGGACTGTAGGGTCAGGGCTGTGGGCTTGGGGTGGCTTAGAGTTTTAGGTTTTCAGCGCCTTATAGGGTGGGAGTGATGCTTTCTTTGGATCGCTGGCAACTCAGCAGTCCAACCAAATAAGTCCTAAGTGAACCTGGTCGGGAGAGAAGTCGTTGAGATCCTGGCCAGGACGACTCGATGCAGCCGTGGTGTCAGGCCGCATGGGGCATGCAGCTTCAGGTTCTCCACGGCCTTGAGGGCCTGGATGTGGCTAACGTAGCAATGTACATCTTGTGCATGTTCTGCGGGCGCTCCCCCGTTTCAAAGCTACTGTAGTGAGCATGCATGTCCATCGATGGTAGGTGGGGCCACAGACCGGTTGGCTCTGCCCGGACGATGACTGCACACCATGCGATATGTGCCCTTGACTGCATCAGGCACTTCGGAAAATCATCAAGCTTAAGCTCCGAGCGAAAGGTAGAATCATGCAGCAGGGCACTGGCAGAAGGTATGCGCTGCCCGATTTCGCCACGGAGTTGGAGGATGTCCGCGAGATGCTGTTCAAGCACCTGGAGGACAGCACCCGAGGTGTCGGTGCATAGGTGTTTGCCGAGGTGACATGTTTCCAGGCCAGAAAGAACAGACCCGAGCCCGAAGGCAAAGAATGGTCAAGTTGTGATTTCTGCCCCCGAGAAATGCTTATAAGGGGCTGGTGATAGCTTCGTCTCAGCACCTGTCAGACGCTAGGAGCAACTGCTTCGGAATCCCACAAAGCTTTCATACTGACGATTGTGGATCGAGGACCTTTTCCACATTGGCGTCACGGCGCTTCGTGTGGATGCTGCCATCTACCATCACGTCTACGAGCTAGCTGCAACTTGGCTGTCATACAGATGTGGCTTTCTTATACTGTAGGAGGTCTTATCTCCAGCTTCCGAGTTAATACGCTAGGGTATGAGGCTTGAAAATGCTTCGGGGATTAATCTTAATCCCTGCTCAGGCAATGCTCAACAGGCTCCCATGGGACCTGGTGTACCAGGAGTGGTGGGGGGAGTATCCCCCACATGACCGCACAGAGTACGTGGGCCTGTATCGGGATGTGGCCTATCGCTGGCACCTGGTGTTCCCCGGCTTGCACATGTAGGAAGTGTGCGAAATCTTCTCCTGGCACCCATTTTGGAGGTATGGTATCAGGCTTGATACCTTAAAACCTAAACCCTAAAGCGTACATATACATGGGGCTCATGCCAAGGAACCGGTTGGCGGGCAAGAACGCCAGTGAGCTGCCTGAGCTCCTTCAGCTGGATGGCGGTGTGTTTGGGATCACGCAGGACTGATTGAAGTTGTGCCACTGTTTTAGGGTTGAGGGTTCAGATGTTGGCTGCTGTGGGGGTACGTTTCGACACGTGGGCAAGAAGCCGTATGTGTGCTGGGCCATGCAAAGGACATGGCTGTCTACCCCTTCGCGTATCACGACGGCCGCAGCAAGGATGCAGATCCTGAAATCGCCACCTACAAGAATGGGCTGGCCTTCCACCAGCAGCAGAAGTTCTTCCTGTCGTGGCCCTTTGGGGAGAAGGTGCTGGTTTGGGGTGGCTATGGGTGGCGGGATCTTACACATGGGCCACCGGGCTGCGACAAGTCAGATGGTGACCACTGTACGCCAGACTCCGTCTACGACGAGGGCGGAAATGCTCAGTGCATGCCAGCCCCGACGGTGTCACCGCTTTCCAAGTCGGACGCACGGGAGCGGCGGTGGATTTGTGAGCACCGCTGGCAGGGTGTAGCAGGCATGATGCACTTCCGCAAGGCCTGCCGACAGCATGCTTTAACGGAGAAGTGGGAAGGTGGACAGACCGAGGGCATAGGGGTCGGCCGCGTCGCCTTCCGCCTCGGCAGTGGCTGCTTCGTGGCGCTGACCCGCGGCAGGAGAGAGGACGAGGATGAGGACGTGGCCGGGGTCGGAGGGACCTGGGACTTGGCGGGCCTCAAGATCGGGCTGCCCCCAGGTCGCTACTGCGACATGTCCTCCCTCCACACACAGAAAGGCTGGGACCAAAGCAGCTGCCCCAGGGAGGTGGAGGTGGACGAGCAGGGAGTGATCCGACATGGCTCCGTCACACAGGGAGCCGCCTAGTTCAACTGTGGAGTACTGTACTTTCTCGTTGTGAGTGCAGATGCTGGTACCGAAGTCCTGGCCAGTGTGGCTCCATGCAATGCTACAGTCCACAAGCATATGGGCCTTGCGCCCCTTGTCTGACCTAAGGAGCTGCTTGCCATTCACAGTGGCGCACAGATTCACAACCTGCAGAGCTAGCAGACCAGCGGCGGATTCCAGCACAGAAGGCCCAACCGTGCTCTGGTTTCCACTTAGAGTCCATAGAGTCCACATAGATGCTAAAGCCATTCGCAGGCATTCGGTTTTCTCACCTTGCGCTGCAGGAAGCTCCCCTGGATGAGGCACAGATGCGCAGCCAAGCTGTGTTTGCGAGTTGGGCACCAGCCAAGCTTTAAAAAGAGACCTGCATCTGTGTGGCACGGAGCATCAACTCAAAGCTGGGCCAGGAATTCGATGTTTTGTGATGGAGGTAGTCGCAAGCCCCAAACTCGCGTTCGCAGCCGACATCTCTGAGGAATCGTGATGTCTCCACGCATGTTCGTGCCGATTCCTCCTTCTGCCAAAGCAGATAGTGTAGATTTTGCAGAAGGAGGCTCTCGGTACGCGCGGCTTGCGACTATCTTCACATGGAGAGGGCCAAACTCGCCCAGAACTGTAAGTTGGATGCGCCTGCCCTTTGCTGTCTAGTGACTGTCCCTGCGTTCAAACCTGAAGTACACAAGACTACAAGACTGATGCTGGATGATGCTGGCCCGGCGCTTCTTGACGTTCCATCCTCATGCAGCGAAGGTGACTTGGAGCAGAGACCAACAACCAGCTCCAGCTGGGCGTCTTTAGTTCAAAGCCTACAACAGGCGTCTGCATCACCGGACCATGGCCAAAAACGGACAACAAAAGCCTTCTGAAACAGAATCGGCCAGCAGTTTCGAACACCCATAGACTTCGATATGCCTGTCACAAGCCATCCTCAGCTCCCAATTTAAGTCAGCTGTGGGCCTCCTGAGCCCAGGCCCGGGGCATGGAGCCGCTGGGTTCCCAACCCGAAGGTCGCGGAACAAAGTTGGGATTTTCTTGGGGGGGGGGGGGGGGGGACATGGAGTACAGGGTTCTTGTTTTTTTTTACATGTAGGGCCAGGGTTCTGTTATTTCGAGGTTGATAGGGCTTCTCGGGAGTTGGAACTGTTAGGGTTTCCGGGCGTCGGGTTTCAGAGTTCGCGTTAGGGGTTCCAGCTTTGCGGGGCTTCAGGTTTCGGAGCCTCAGAAGCAGGCCTGGGGAAAAAACAGTGGCTAAGGACTCAGGGGAGCTGGGTTGAAGGGTTCCAGGTTTTGAGTTGGCGGCGCTAGGATGTATAGGGGATTGGGGGGGAAGAGAGGCTTATTGTTTCGCGAACGGGGCCTGCCCATAACTTAGGGGTTGTCGCAACAAGGCGCTGTTGCGAAGGGAGAGGCAAAGTGCAATTTTCGTCGGCCACTTGTGACGGGCCGCTGGTGTATTGAGTATGACATCCCACTGCCATGGGTTCCGTCTGATTGGCTGGCTGATTATGTGGCCAGGCAGCGCTGCTTAGGGACCACCAAGTTGCCCTAGAGAATAGTACGACCTAGTAAGACGAAAAACAAGAACACTAGCAACAACAATAAGAAGAACACTAAGAACCACACGAATGATAAGAACAACAGGAGTAGTATCGCGAAATGCATAGTTCTAAATGTTATGTGTATAGAAGTTGTTGTAGTCTGAATCACAGAGGGGGGGTCGAGATGGCCAGGCAACGAGGAGGGCGAAGTGCAACTGGTGCGGGCCCCCGGGGCCTTGCTTGAATAGGATTTGCAGTCAGGTTCAGGGCTTAGAGGGTTGGCGCGATCAAGATTCCTCAAGTCCTCCAGTCAGTGCATTTGCTTGACCATGCTTGACCTTCCTGACCACTTGGCCAAGTAAACGGCCGAGGACGACATCCACGAGGAGTGGTTCGTGGAGGCGATGGGGCCTCACAGGGTATTATCCTCATGGTTGCTCATGGCTTGAGTGCATGGTCTCCGAGAAGTTGCTTGCATTGCAGCGTGCCCGGTGGCAGAAAGTCAAGGGCTCAACCCGCCCAACTCACGCATATGCTGGGTGAGCTGAGACTACCATCTGAGACAAATGGTGTATGTTGAACTTCGTTGGTGTTCCTTCACAGATCCTGCAACCTTGATCTTTGACACCGACCTTGTTTTCAATTCGGTGCGAGTCGAGTCTCGCAGGCCAGTGAGAAGGTTGATCTTCCACCACCCTGGGAAAAGCGGCGCGTTCGAGGTGCGGGAGACCGGCCAGTGACTGAGGAAGGGGGACGGGCAGGGCTGGGAAGGCTGGGGGATCATTCATGGGGGGAGGCAAGTTATTCTTTAGTGTGCAAGCAGCACCTCTTGTGCAGAAATGCGGCAATCATCAATTTCACAACCTAACAAGCATAACAGCCGACAAGCTGAGTCACCCCACTTCCGATGGCAAGGTCATACGGTCATACTTGGGAAGCCTCGACTAACATAGATCTGAACCGCAGAACGTGTGTCAAATCTGAGCACCGGCGGAGCGCCGTCTAGCCCGAGGCCTGGACGGATGTATTTCCTCGATCCCAGGCATGCCGATGCTATGTGCTTTTTTCGCTTTGGAGGGGCTCATGATGCCAGCCTTAATAGGGATTGTAGTACCCCCCCCCCCCCCTATTGTAAGTTAGTATAATGGGCACCTGCCTACTTTTCTTCAGAATCCGGAAGCGGGGACGTTCTTTGCGGCAGGTCGAAGCGTACTACCTGGAAAGACCCCAGGCGCGGTTGCGTCCTTCGCCGCTTTTTTTATGCGGAAAGAACAACCCTTGGCCTCCTCCGGTGCTAGAAGCCCCAAAGCTGCCTCAAACCCAAACCTTGAGAGCCCGCCCTGCTGCCGCCTTCACTTGGTTTACCCTTCCCCCCCCCCCCACCCATAGGACCACATGAATCTTCCTCTTCCCAGCTGATGCGGAATCGGGCAGGTTAGAGGATGGAAAACTCCTCGTGTGTGTGTGTGTGTGTGTGATGCCATCAGGGTCTGACTTCGGATTCCCTGGATATTTGAAAGCTTTTATTTGAAAGCTTTTCTATGACAACGGTGCGCTCTTTCCCCACTTGAGTCCCCACTTGAGATACGATGCTGTGCCTCATAGATGTCTTACTGCGGTTGGGCTGCCTGGCTTTGGTGGGGGCTTTGCTCACAATTCTTCGTGGCCAAAGAGTCTTGCCTGCTAGTGGAAGCCCAAGGACCCACCCGAAGTCAAGGATACCGATGCCCATTGGCTCCAAACAACTCCAAGTGCCCTAAGCACGGTGCTGCCCTTTCCACTGCAAATAGGTTCCTGCCAGAGAGCTGGGACCAGCGTGTGGATGCAGCCAGTGGCAAGGCCATGTGGTTCACTGCCATTGGTCCTCATGCCGGGGTCGTTCTGATACGATTCATGTCAGGTGCCCTGCTGCAGATAGCTCTTCGTAGGGTTTTTGGTCATGCAAATGCATATGAAAGTGGTCCTAATGTATAACGAGCGTGCACTTGACATCACCCTCGCGACCCTAAACCCTGAACCTTTTGCCATGAGGCCTGTGTGCAGTGCGGGGCTTTGGGTCTTGGGTTTTGCAAGGGGCGGGGTTACAGTGCACCATGCAGTAGGAAGTCCGAAGACTTCTTGAGGCTACCGGCAAAATCGGGGATGTTCCGGCTCTGAAAGTTGCGGGTTTGGAAACTCTACTTCGCCCTGAAGAAGGTGCTACTGCACACTTGCAGGGATTGGCACGTTTCTTTGAGATCTCTTTGTCAGAGTGAGACATGCTGAGACGCAGCCTTGAAAGCCCCAACAAACAGGGCCCTGCAGTATTCAGGCCTTGAAGGCGGAAGGGTTCCCTCTCGGAAGGTGTACTTCCAGTACCACAAGACTCGGAAGACCACTTATGTGGATCCCCGAAGCTGCCCCGTGGGCTGGGCCGGACGCCCTGTGCTGTGGTTGCCGGGGAGGTTGGGCAGTTGAAGGAGTGCTTCTTCGCAAGAGTCTTTGGGGGTTTTTCTGCTCATGGCAGGACATGTTGAAACCAAACCCCTTTTGGGGGTCTGTGGGCTCTAACTACATTCCTTGCCGCCGAGGATATGCGCCTTTCCAAGGATGGCGAGATCTACTTTGCCTACATCCCGGCCATGCGCACAACGCTCATCGACCTTGCCCCAGCATCCACATCTCTGAGATTCCTTTGCCCCTCCTGCATTGTGCGCCCGAGGACCCGCGAGGCTTGCCAGACAACTTCGATGCTGCCCTGGATGACAGCGCCAGGCTGGCTTTGCGGGATTCTAGAGTTCTTTGGCTTCGGGCTTCGGCTGGCTCACGGCGCACATGTGCGACAGAGCGTGCAGTTGATGCGCTTTCTCCAGCTCAAGTGTAGAGTTCCCTTGTAGCTCGCTTCTAGGATTCTCTACATCAAGGCCCTCTCTAGAGGGCTGGCAATTCAAGTTCCTGACATGTCCAGGATGTACTTCAAGAACCATGAGACCCAGTCCACAACCTGGGACGACCCCCGGAGTGGTCAGCAGGAGGCAGGAGTTTCAAGGTTGCCTGGCGCAGGAGGGCTTTCTCGATGCTGAATGGATTTCGTATAGTAGGTTAGCATTAGTAGGGCAATGTCGCATAGTTACAGCATGTCCGAAATAGTTTTCAGCGCCAGACGTACCATGATTCCCGGCTAGGCTCTTAACCACCCACTGTCTGAAAGCCCCCACGGGCGCAGGTGACTCTGACCAAATGGAGACAGGCCGAACCTGGGCAGTTGTGCAGTGAAGGTTTGTAGGTGGAGCTTAGGGCATCCCAATACTTGAGTTGGCTGGTCATTCTTTTTTTGGGGAGGCGCAGTCCACGCGGTGGTGGAAGGAGCAGGCTCGGAAGACTTCTTCTGTAGTGTCAGATTCACCGTGGCCATTGGTCGTGTTCGGGCATGTTCGGGGTTATAGGCATTTGCCCGCCTTCAGAACATCTTGGGTCGTTCTGACATCTCACGCCAAGAGTGGCTCGGTAGAAAAAATCAACAAGCATTGGCAGGTTTGGAGAGAAATTGAAGAGATGAACAGGCCGAGCCGGAGCGCTGTGCGAAAACGTTGCAACTCACGGGGGCGGGGGGTAGGCGGGCTTGAAGTGGCCCCACTATTCCTGTGTGCTAGAGGGCAGATGTAGATTTGTAAATGGCGCTGACTCCCGCTTTCCAAGTACTCAGAATGTTCAGGCAGACCTGACTTTTTAGACTGAAAGACTTAGATACCCAGCTGGCATGCGTCGTATAAACAAATCAACAAATACTATATATATATATATGTATATACATATGTATATCTCTCTTGGCCTCATGTGGTGTGTATCTGACCACTTGGAGGGACCAAGGAACAACGGCTGTAGAGTCGCAAGTGAAAGAAGTCGCGCCACTGTGTGCGCACTGCCTTGGAGCTGGGGCGAGTTTTGCTGCCGGGAATGCCGACGTCCTTTAGGGGGGTCTTCGTCGTTGCTTTGTCTTGCAGTGTTCGTAACGATAACCCCATGTTTGTACCGGGGAGACTTGCGGAGTGCTTCGTCCAACTACAAAACTTCCAGAGGCCCTGAGACCAACCCGACCCTGCAAGCTCTCCAGGCGCAAGGATGAGGAGAAGGCCACCGAGCCTGGGGACGAGCCCGAGCCAATCCTGGAGCGAGGCAAGTCTTGGTTTGTTTTTGGTTTGTTTTGTTTGGGTGTGCGGTTTAGGGTGCGAAGCCTGTTGCGAAAGGGTTTACGGTTGAGATTGCGTGATGAAGCTTCCTGGAAAGTTGTTGTGCTCAAAAAGGGTTCAGGTTTTTTGTTGGCCGGGGGCGGGAGGTGTTTGGGTTTAGGACCTTTATGATTTCGCAACCCTAAACCCTAAGCCCTAAGCCCTAAACCCTAAACCCTAAACCCTAAGGTTTATGTTTAGGGTTCTTTGTGGGGTCTTCCAGGGTTGCTTTGGGGTTTTGAGTGGTTTGGATGGGTGGGCTGTAGGGTTTTTGTAGTGGGCTTATGTGCTCACACAGGGGCCCGTCGTGGGGAAAAGGGGCCTTTCAGAGGCCTGGAGCACGGGTCGCGGCTTGAAGTGGGGCAAGTAACATGTGTAAGTTTGCCTTAAGGGTGATGTACAACTCTTCCCCTCCTTAGAACAGTACTTGGGTGGGGTCGCCTCATGACAGCAGCCAGGAACCTCGGCCTGAGAGGGGAGGGGATCTGGTGCTGTAGTCCATCTGCAGGAAGTCCGCAACTTTTTAGTTCCGCTGCATGCGATCTGTCATTGTAGGCATGGCATGTTTCGTTTCACTGAGTGTTAGTCCTCCTGCGACACAGAATCAGAGGCTCTTTGCAAGCACTACAGATTTCGAAGTGTGAAGTTTTTTAGATCCAATGCTTAATTAAGCTTGAAAGATTCTTGTTCGGTGCCTGATGCTTGCAAAGAAACACTCCGGACATTCCAGAGACTCGCTTGAGATCGAGAGGCGCTTGACCAGCAAGAGCTGAAACCTTATGTGCCACAAATCGAACGACTGTAGGACTACCTACATCACCTTTCAAGCCCCCCCCCAAAAAAAACAAAAACCTTGGCCACTTTCTGTTCATGTTCTTCTCGAGCCCGTCCGAGAAGTGCCATCACGACGTTTGGCAAAACAAGCGGCGGAGTGGAAGAACGCTCCAACCCCACTTCGCACTGTTTAGTATTCGGAGGATCTGCGACCACACAGCTCACATGCGGCTTCGCTCGAACCTGCACTAGCCTAATGGTCTTGGTCGCCTTTGCTCATGATCCACAGCTGGGTGGCCCGCGCTGCGATGAAGAGTTTTCTGTGGTCCTAATTGTGCTATCTTCAACGTCTGAGATTCCTAGCAGTGTGAGATCGTGGGCTTTCGAGAGCAGATTCCGAGTAAGGCTGCTTGCGCTGCAAGAGAAGGCTGAGACTCACTTGGCATCACATCTCGGCAGAAACTTCGAGAATCTATGGTGCTGCCAGGTGCTGCGACGGTTGGAGTTGGGATGGCGGCAGACAGAACGCTTTGGTGTCGCGCTGAGACGGCCGACCACTTCCGCCACGGCAGATGTCACAGTTGCGGCAACTGAGGCTACGACCACCTCCAGAACCTGCACCTCCTTTTTGCAGTCGCAGCCCTGGTTCAAAGCAGTTCGCGACAGGGCCTGTGATAGATGCAAGTTTAAGTGCCGAAGCCGATCTCGCCACGAAGAGCTTGGAAGAGGGGGGCGAGGGATTGCATCACGAAATGTCGAGCAAATTTTTGCATTTTGTGATCAGACTACTCCTGCACGCCCTTGCTCGCGATTTCATGCCGAGGCATTGGAGGAAAAACGAACAAGTGTACTTGCCAGGAGCGGGCGCCGTCTGATTGAATGTGGGACTGGGGACATCATTGTGTCTGCTTAGACATGTTCATGCAAGCATGGTCTAGCGATGCCCTCTTGTGGACCCTACCATGGGTGTTCGTGGAGCATGGGGGCGTGCACGTGTCGTCTTGACCACCTGCCACAAATAACTCAGATCATGTGAAGCACGTGCCACCGGCGGCTCGGTAGAGTAGATCGAAGCGACAGCGGAACGAGGTCCAGTGCCTGCTTCACGTGTTCATGGCATTCGACGTCAATTAGCCCTGCGAAGCCGAGGCTCCTAAGGCTAAGTAGCCTAAGCAAAGAGACATGGAACCTTGGCAAGGATAGCGATGTCCGTCGAAGCCAAGGCCTGGGAATGGGTTCAGTGCACCGAAGTGGACTCGTGGGGGGAGGGGGGGAGGGGGGAGGGGGAGGGGGGAGGGGGGAGGGGGGCGCTCCATCTCTCCCTCTCTCTCTCCCTCTCTCTCTCCGTCTCTCTCTCTCTCTCTCTCTCTCTCTCTCTCTCCTTTGTTTCAAGTCGAGTCTCCCAGTTTTGGAGCTTTGAGGTGGTGGAGCCCATGATGCCCACGGATGCGCACGGGCTCAGTCCGGATGACAAAGCTCATGAGAAGTCCTTCGTGCCACCATGCATCCATAGGCCCATCGATGCCCATAGGCAATGAGATTGGGGTTTATGGGTTTAGGGTTTGGGTTTGGGGTTTAGGGTTTGGTCTAGGGATTGGGGTTTAGGGGTTAGGGGTTAGGGGTTTGGGGTTTAGGGTTTAGGGTTTAAAGGGTTTAGTGGATCAACCGAGCGATGCCCAAGTCTGCTGCTGCCTTTCTCGGGTGCACCGGACCCTGAGCCGGAGCTCCGAAGCAAGACCATCTGCATCTGATTGGTCTCTTACTTCGGGTTCCCTTGTTGGGCAAGCTTAGATATCCCGATGAGCAACCAAGTTCAACATGGGCCTGAAGCAGAAGCCACAGAAGCAAATCCCTTAACCCTGAAACTACGCGGGAGGCAAAACAAGCACACCCCTGAACCCCTCAACCTCAAACTTCATGCTGCCACTATGGCCGCCTGCTGGGCTTCCTCATGGCCCCCAACTCCTCGGCGGTGCCGCTGGGCATGCCCCTGACTTTGCAGTTGAGTGTTCAGGAAGAAGGGGCTTGCAGGCTTAAGGGATCTAGGGCAGCACGAAGGGTAAATGCTGGCCTTCTAGAGTCTTGTGGGGCTTTGAGGGGTTTGGGGCTTCAGCTCTCTTAGGCTGAAGCAAGTTTAACGAGCGAAGGGGCCTGGGGGGAGCAGCAGAGTGGCCGGATTCCGTGAGCTCCTAGCCAACCGACGATGAGAGATCGTGACAACTCCATACCATGCTTAGGCTCCCCAGCCGTTGCTGGGAATGCATCGACCCAAGAAGAGCAAGGGGGAAACGCCGACCTGCAGTCTGTGGAGGATTACCTGACTCCCTGTGCTGCTGGCATATAGGCGGAGTGTTTCAAGATGTGTCCGGCAACCGGGATCAGTACAGCACCACACACTCCATGATTCAACAACAGTGTGTGGCCTCGGCACGCCTCAGCACTCCTTTCCTCGTGCAAACCCTCGACCCTCAAGAAGGAGCTCGCCAGCTGCTTTCCTCGTCACTGGCCTCGTTTGCCGGCGCCGCCGGGCAAGCGCCGGGCACGGCGATGGCGGCGGAGGCCCACCACTATCGGGTTCAGCAAAGTGGGGGGCTGTTCCAAATAAGGACCCCCTGTATCGGGGATGACTTACAGCAATCCCATGTGACCGAGTTGAGGACCTGGCATCAACCGTCTTACGTGACTGCTGCTGCGGTCGGTGAAGTTGAAAGGGCTTCAGACTTGGAGCTGGCAAGCTCCCAGTAGCTTAAGATGGGCAAGTGTAAAAGAGAATGTGTCTCTGTCTCTGTGTGTGTCTATTCTGCGCACTTATCGCAAGAACACCCAACAGGCCTCTACAGGTTTGATCGGCTCGTCGTGTCTTGGCATCCGACATGATCATGCTTCACTGAGCATCTCATGCGCTTTGGTTGTGCGGGGGTTGGTGTCGGGAGCTTCAAGTGCAACACGTGCATTTCACAATCTTTCGCAAGAAGGGCTTTGCTGCGCAAGAAGGATTTTGAATATGGGACGCCAGTACGTACAAACATGAACAACTACAGTTTTACTACCTTTGCAGCATTGCAAAGAGATGCCGTTCGCAACTTTGGCAGTCACACATTTGCTTCGCAAAGCCACATCCGCCATCGTGAGGTACTGATGGATGGTGACGGCCAGGGCCCTCGCGAGTTTCGTGCCGCCTGGAAGGTCCGGGGTGCCAAAATCTCCCAGTCGGAGTTAGGGGACTTCTCTCATGCTTCAAGTGGCCCTGCCCTAGATTCCTAGATGCTCTGCTGAAAACCATCCTGCAATCTCTGAACTCCTCATAGGATGCGACCTGGAGGCACTGTCAAGCATAGGGGCGGAGGTGCGCGCCTTCGCGGCCCAGCTGCCCTGATCTATTTAATGCGGGCTGGAGGTACGGGAATCCTTTCCGCGATTCTCTCTGTATCAATAAGAGACATGGAGAACATGCATCAATAGGTCAAATGTCCGAATGGCCCCCGTTGAGCTCCAAAGCAGAGTATCTTGAAAACAGTGACAGCGCGAGGCCTTTGCACCTAACGTGTAGAAGTGTAGGCCCCATCTCGCGAGATGTCATTGAGGTCTTTGCCGCGGAGTCGCAGCTCCTTCGGAAGGATTGGCGAACTTTTTTGGAGGACTTCCGGGTATAGGGTCCAGAGTCTGGAGTCTAGAGGTTCGGTCAGGGTGTTGGTTGTTCTTTCTTTCTTTTTCTTCCCATTTTCTTGTTTGATCATTTTGTCCTTGTCCGGGCAGGTTGCGCCACCTTGACAAACCTCGTGAGACCCCGTTGTCCAACATCAGACGCTTCGAGAGGTCTTTCTCTCAACATCTCCTGGCTTGAATCGTGGCCGCAGGAATCGGGTGCTCAGGGCGTGGCTGTGCCACCGAACGCCTCCGAAGGCTTGCAGGCACACGCGCTACGTAACCTTTCAGTGCATGTCAGGTGGTGTGGACCAGAACATCCAATCAATCTGCATGTTAGAATGTTAAAAGAGGTGCAGCCGAAACCACTTTCGCAATGCTTTCACATGTTGAATTTTCATGGCTGCTTCCGTCATTGTCAGGCACTGCAGCGGACAGTCATGGCCAAAGCTGCCATACGGTGGGCAAAGGATCCTGCCATTTCCTGCGCCACTTGTATGCACATGACCACTTGTGAAACTTGTGAAGCATCGGCATACTCAGAAGAACTCAGTGACACCGCGTCACCCCTGATACGGTCAGGTTGCGCTGATGCCCTCTGAGCGTGTTGGGCGGCCTGCAAGCCCTGACGATGCCAACATGGATGTCGACTTTGTGCAGTTAGCGCATCTCCTGGTCACAGGCTGGGCTTTCCCAGCAGGTTGAACCGTTGCATGTCTTCCGGGGTCTAGGCAGAACTTCAAGCACCAAGCGACCGATTTCTGAGCAGGGCCACGAGCTCGCGTGCTCGCGGTGCTTTTGGAAGGGCCGGCGTCACTGGGCTGAACAACAGGCAGTCGCTGTGGCTGCTCATTTATTGCGTGGTGAAGGCGCAAGCAATGAACATTGTGTGTGTGGGGGTCAGAAAGAACATGGAAAAGAATGCTTCTGCAACAGGATCCGATCTGTATGCGTCCGTCCTTCTTCAAGGGAAAACGCATCATGCTGTAGCGACTTCCTTCGAGACGCCAAGCCCACAGACTTCATAGACCTCGCCCCAGTCCGAATAGCTGTCACATAGGAAGCTTGTTCCACCTAGTCTTGAGAGACACCGAAGCCTCAGAGGGTTTAGCCCACAGGTTCCGCTGTCCGGAGTCTGTGGGCCTGGCCTCTGAGTTCCGGGCGGCGCAGGCGGAGGTCTTTTGGGTGGAGGCGGGGCTGCGCGCTTGAGTGCCCATAACTCTTACCTACAGCTGCCGTGTAATAGCTAGCAGCTAGCACTTGCCTTCTTAAGTTGTTGGTATGTACCCATGAGTTTGTTTGTATGTCGAGTTACATGGTTCCGCCCAGTCCTTGTTGTAAGGTTCATCCCCCTTCCCCCATGTACAGTCAAGCTTCCGGAGCCTCTGACTCCTCATTTGCTGGGGTTCCTCCAACCATTGAGAGCTTGACTTGGGGAGACCTGGTCCTTTCGCAGCTTTTTGTTGCAGGTGTTTTTTTCTGATTGTGGGATGCCATTGAAGAGCTCGTCTCTTGTGGCACCTCGCGGACCTTTCTAACCGTTCCTAACCTCTGAATCAGCGTTGGATCTCCTTTCCACGCCCCTATCCCCTCGATCCCTATCTGAATCCCCCTTCAATTCCCCATCGTAAATCACCCCGTCGCGAAGGAATCCCCAAAACACTTGTGGCCGCTCTTCTGAATCATGATTGACACTCTGAATTCCTATCATTTCTGTTCTACCAGGTCCAGTGGTTCGGTTTTCGATCCCCGCGGCTGCGGGCGGTGCTGCCGCCCGGACCCGGAGTCCCTGGATGCTTTGCGAACATTGGGGGTTTGGGGTTTTATGGGTTCCGGGGTTTACGGTTCAGGGACGTTAAGGGCTTCAGGTTTAGGGTTTCACCCAGAGGGTTTCACCCAGAGGGTTTCACCCAGAGGGTTTCTGCAAAAAGCACTATGATTCTGGCATAATCTGGCTGGACAGTTCCCTTGCTCAGTTGGAGAGCAGTACCACGCAGCCAAACAAACAAATCCGACCCTGCTGCAAGGCGTCGCCACAACGACCCCCAGCATAAGGTCACAAGTAGGTTTCTAGCGAGCAGAAATTTCTGCATCAAAAGCTCAAGGTCCAAGCTGTGCTTGAACCGCTGGCTTTCAATGCAAATCCCGCATTCAGAAAAGCACCTCCATCAATTTAATTCACGATGAGTTTTCAGCAAATCCGCATGATGGACCTATTCATTAACAGGGTGCCCCGGGGATTTGCGATGAAGCCATGGTTGGCTCCACTCAGCTAAGGAAAGGTGGAACCCATCGAGGAGGACGGGGGCTACATGAGCTGATCATGGGCAAGGGACATCAGACCCTTCATGGCAGACGTGCCGCCACATCAGTCTTCTGGCCCTTGCACAAGAGTTGATGCGAAGTTTCGTCATGGCACATGGGGGTTTACGAAAATAGGGGTACCCCTTCTCTACCCCAAAATACTATATAATCTTTTGAAAGGAACCCCCAAAAAGATACCCCCATTTTTGGAAACCCCACATAGCACGACGGTGCATGCCGGAAAGCTGCCAGCAGGAGCGGGGTCCGCTGCCGGACATCACACATTTGGTTGCGCACCGATGCTTCAAGTTCAGAGTTGATTCTTTGCAGGTTCGATTTTTCGGAAACTCTCTGATGGTTCTGCTTCGTCTGGTGTGTCTGAGCGCCTTTCCGAGGGCCATGAAGGTAATCATCAGTTGTGAAAGTGTTGGCAAGTGCTGAAATACTTCTCTTTCCGCGGTCGCATGCCCCTTCGTTTGATGGAGGCACCTCTTCAAGC